TTTATTATTTATGATGTTGTCTGGGTCTCTGATACAAACTGGATCTGCCACAGCAGTACGCTGGCTTTATATGCCAGCCTGTGCTTGGCTTGGTTTCCTGAGGCACTGCAAAGGGGAGAGAGACCGTCCTCTCCGTGTGTCCTACTCAGCTCCTGCGTCACCCTCTCTTCAGTTTCACTTCTGGTCCTAAGTTAAAGAAGCCTAGTAGCAGAGGCAGTCACAGGCAAAGGTCACTGGCTCTGTGATCTCTCTCCTGCTGCTGCTTTGAGAAGACTGCAATCTAACCTTTTTGATTTTGATTTTTTCCAAACTTCTTTCCCGCCAGGCAAAGAGAACCCAGAGGTGGATTTCTCATTAGTGCTAACAGAGCACACTCCGAGGGACCGCATGCTCAGCAGCTGGAAACAGCAATTCCTTGAAAGGCCCAAAGTAATTTAAGCTGCTACTTCTGGACTATTTAGTGAGACTTTCAGCACAGCATTAGTGGATCTTACTTGAAAGCCTCACCCCACCTCCCTTATAGGAGGCAAAAAAAATCTTTTGAGATGCAAGGGAAGCATCAAAGCAAGATAGGAGGAACTGGAAAGTGGTTTTCCTGAAGAAATACATCTTAAATCTAATCCAGTATGCTGTAAATTAGAAAATGTTATTGCACACTGGCATGGACCATCATGGCTACAACAATCCCAAACTTCTTTCAGTCCCAATTCAAAATCTCCATAACACTCCCCAATTCACACTGCCTTCCCTTTCCCTCCTAAGTCCAGTATACAAGGATGCTGGTAGAGGATGACTAATTTCACTCCTCTGGCTAGAATTCAGCAGTGGAAGAACTGACTTCTCTGAAATCTATCCTGCCTTTTTGGAGTTCCTTTTGGAAGGAAAAGTGCTAGGGAAATGTAAAGCACCAACATTGTAAATAAGAAACAGAATCCGAACTTTGCCCTTCACATCAATTTAATTTTTTCTGACAAAAATGCAGAGAGGCTCTGGTCTCTGTGCAATTCATGTAACAGTCAGGATCCCTGGTTCCTCACAATTTACATTTATTCAAACTCCTTTGCACTCCGTTGTTATGGGTTTTGCACTCTTTGGTTGCATTCAGATGAGCGCAGCCACGTAGTATGTGGTGCCAAAGACATGTCTGCGATGCCATGCATTCAGCAGTTCTCCATACTGCAAGGTAGCAGTATGGGGTGTGGGAAGGGGAGGCCTTGACCTTAGGTGTTCCTAGGGTCAAATAAATGCCCCCCCCACCCTCCAAGCGGAGTGGTGCATGTGAGGGCAGCATGTGCTGCCCAAAACCAAATCTTGGCTAGCCAGAGCCATGCTCCAGTGACAGGATTGCCACTGCTGCAGGCCCCCAGGTGAGGCTGCTGGGGCCAGCCCAGAGCTGGTGTAGCCTCCCCCCTACACAACCTGGGGTAACCTGCTGCATGCTTGAGGACATGTGGCATAGTTCCCCAGTGACAAGCAGCAGCTGCACAAGGTATGCCACCACTGCTTTTCCCGGAGGAAACATCTGTGGATGCAGCTTTATTACATTTGTGGAGCTCAACCTCTTTCCAGGACTGGAAAGGAGGCAGTTGTGCTGCAAGATGAGTCATAATCTAACCAGCTGAGCATGCAGTTAAACTTAAAAGCAGATTTTCAAGACCTGCAGCTCAAACCATCTTCTGAAAGTATAGATCTACAAGTGGTGAGGGCTCGGCCTTAAGCCTGAAGCAAAAAGTGCAAAGAGAGGAAGAAAGGGCAAGTATCTGGGTGTCAGACTTCATCTTCCTGTTCAAGTGCTCTTCAGTTCACTACTCTTTTACATACAGAACTTTAGGGTCATTGTTGCATCATACAAGATTTAACAATAGCGAGTTTGATGGGCATGACTCTGTGGGGCCCAAAACTGTGGAACTGTATCCAAGGATCTCAGCTTGGTTTCTTTTTAAAAAAAGAAAAAAAAAAATGTTCCCAGACCTTATTATAGAGAACCTAAAACATCTAAAATCAAGTAATTGTGCTTACTGGAGTTCACAAAATATCTGATGCAAGTGGTTCTGGTAGGTGTGAGCTATCTTGCTGTTTTCAAGGCCTCTCCAGAGCTAAAGCATTCACTTACTTTGCCAAGACATAAGGAAGCGTGTGATGTTTGCATTAGAGTATTTTTGACTGGACATACACAGGAATGGAGAGTAACCATTTTGTATTAGCATAGCTACAGAACTTTGTGGGGTACAGAAAAGGTAGAAATACAAACCTAATCTGTTCCACAGATCATAGTAGGTTAAGATTTTAAACAGGGTTGTGTGCACACATCTACAGTTGAAGAGATGGTGTTCTCAGGGGACAGGAACCTTGGTGTGTCACTGCAGGGAGCCAGTATCTTAAGTACTTAGGGAAACATATGGAAACACTGCTGCCTTAAACACAGGGTCAGGTGCTTTTTGCAGAAGTACTTACACAGTGCATTGTAAGACTTTAGTCACACTGCGCAGGTACTAGTTTGTCCCAGAAGTCAGATGGCTGCAGGAAGCATGGCACTCTGCCCAGGCTCCTCATCCTGCCACATCTGGTACAATGCTGTGCTGACTGCTAGCTTCTGAAATTTTTTTATACCAAGCTAGGCTTTATCTCAAATCCAGGGAAGAATTAGTGTAGAGAACTTTCCTGGGCGCTTCAGCTATGCATCATGATGTAATGTCACAACAGCAAGTATAGTGATGCAAAACCCAAGATACTTCCTATGAAATAGTACTAAAAGCAAACATTTAACACACAGGGATTTTTTCCACTTTTAAGTAGAAGACTTAAGAGATTAAAACATCACTTATTTCAAAATGCCCAAAGCCCTGAAGGTTGTCCAATTTTTTTTGCCTATTTATTAAAACTTTCTGTATGTTTATAGAACTAGCTTCAATTTCTCCTGTTATAAACAAAAGGTGTAGATGTACTCTCATTTTACTTAACAGAATGAAGAACTAGAAAAGGAGACTTAGCAATTAAGATCTAAAAGCCAGAGGGAAACAAGGCTCACTCACTATTTGCCTACTGAAGTCCAAAAGGGCATCACGGACACGTACAGCAAAAGATGTTGTTATCTGGCATCCATGGAAAATGGGGGTGCCGGATAACCAAATATGCCTGTTGTTAGGCAAAGATACCCCACCCACTGCATCCACATCTCAGATTAACCATGCTGCCCCTCCCCTAGTGTCAGTGTGTGGGGGTGCTCCATGCAGGCTGCTTTCCCCAGGGCTGTGGGATTCAACAAAACTGGAGTCCCATTTCTGGCTTCCTCTTTGCTGCGTTGACTGGCATGCCAGTTAACATGACTTTTACTGTAATATAGTGTACGTTTCCACTGTTAAACTTATGCTACCTTCTACTTGATCAGAGCCAGAGGTATCTGGTTACAAACCAACTTTACTTTTTTTTTTTTTAAAATCGAAGACTCTTGACTAGGTATCAGGGCAAATTTGTAAAGCCAATGACCATTTAACTTTTACTTTTTACTACCAAAAGTATGTGCAAGAAACAACAGTGCCCATGCCTGCAGTACATTAGTTTACACTATTCTTCAGGAAGAATTCATTTGCAAGAGGCAACTGCTGTGACATTCACATTGGGGAAATAAATAGGGATGCAACTCCATTTCTAACTTGTATTAAAAAACTGCAATCTCCTCATCTATGCCCAATAAAGCATTCCCATTCAAAAAAAATAAAATTATATACAATTCATTCATTCAAGTTTACATCATCTATTCCACCTTCATGCTATGCCTAATCGTATTGCTATGAAGCACACCCTGAACATTGAGAACCATTTTGCTCATTTCTCAGACGCACGAGTGGACACTTGAGAAAGAGCCCACAGCAGTAGCAAAGTTGCCTATTTACTATTCTAAGGCAGGCAAGCCACTGCTCTTAAGATTTAAATCACACATAAAACCTAGTTGTAGATGAAGTGGACTCCATTGGCACTCCCTAGTCTAGCACAGAGGCAGGGGTAGCAACATCCTTCCAGTATTCAAGTTTTAGCCAAACATACCTGGAACAAGTTTTTTGTTTTGTGTTTTTTTATTGAAGCATTGATTTCAAACAGAAACAATCCTTGTTTGAGCAGCCACATCCCTTAATGACTTAGTTCCAGTGTTGTTTCACATGTTTCTAGCCCATTAATTTCTAATAGACTATTATGTGATAAATCACAGCACAGCTCGCCTTCTTTTCTGGCTGTGACTGCTTGCAATAGGTGCACAAATAGACAAAACTACCTGGAACAAAACAACATATTGCCTACTCTTACCAGTCCAGATTAATTGGCAGTTTAATACTTTCACTCTGTACAGGGTGAAGTACATACATAACCAGTCACTGCAGCTGACACAAAATCCTTCCCTCGCTGAACTGCAGACCCAAGCCGTTTGTACGCCTGCAGTTACCATACAGCAAATTTAAGCTAGATCCAAAACAATTTAACCCTGTTTCGTTAGATGAAAGACTGCCTGCTTTCTTAATAGAGACAAAGACAGTTATTGCAAGAGCAGCTGAACCATAGTAAGAATTCTTGCTCGCGGTTAACTGCGAGATCCTAAACAGGGTCACAACTCCAAATCTGAAGGCAATGGTTTCCAAAGTTAGCAGGCCTC